CAGTTCTTCTGGGAAGATGCCTAGCAGTGGAATAGCAGGAACAAATGGGACTTCCAATCCCAGCTTTTTTGAGAAATTGCTGGATAGTGATTTCAAGGCCAGTCTTAAGTTCATAGTGAGACCCTGTCTCAATTCCACCTCCAAAAACAAACAAAAAACCCCCAAACCACAAATGAAAAAACAAAATGAAGTTGCAAAACAATTGGGAGTTCATCTAGTTTACAGCTATGCACGTAAGGGATAGAAAGGGATAGATAGAAGTTCTGAAAGCTTATAATTCTGGAAGAGTACAACCCGGATGAGATGTGAAGATTAGCATATGGCTACAGTGTTGATGATAAATGCAGAAATAGAATTTCTTAAGTACAGTTTCATTTAAATACAGAGTCTGCTGTATCAGGGAAGACTTCCTACAGGGCGTGGTAATACATAAATTGGTTTCAAAGCCCCAGGCAGAGAGTTTGGTCTGATAAAGCTCCAGGCATAGGAGGACTGGCGAAATAGTTGATATGTTTGGGTCCTTTTATGACCAGGATGAAAGCTTTTAAATGTTGAAAAAGACCACTAATCAGTTGACACAGGTGATGTCTGTGAAGGCAACTACTCCAGGAAAAGGCTTTTGTTCAATTTAAGAGAAAAGAGAACTTTGGGCTTTGGCTTTGCCCAGGAAATTGGTAATGAACATTCTACATTCTAGTTTTTGATAGAGACAAATTATCTATCAAAATTTGTTTATTCAGTTTAATTTATTTTTAAGGAAAGGTCTCTCTGTAATCCAGGCTTGTCTCAAACTCACTGTGTATCCTGGGTTGGCCTTGCACTCGTGGAGATCCTATTGCCTCAGCCTCCTGAGTGCTGGAATTTTAGATGTGGGCCACTATGCTTGCTTGATGTAATTTTAAACTTACATGAAAGTTGTTAAAAATGATTCAAGGATTTTTTGGTATTCCTATATGGATTTATTTTAAAAAAACAGGTAATAGTAATTTTAATAACCATGCCTTGTAACACTTGTGATCAATTCAGCAGCCTTTGTACCTTTTTCATTTTAGTACTGTTGGACAATAAGAGCCTGATTTATTTACAGAATTACAAAATCTTCTCTGTCACCTCTTGATTTTGCTTGGTTATTATCTTGATTGTATTTGAGCTCTTGATTGTATTTTTAGCTCTGTAAAATATTTGATAATTCTTTTAAAAAGATAAAAATTACTACTGTTAGTTTTCTGGCACGATAGAGAAGCAAAAATTACAAAACAAAAAGAACATGTTTATTGAGGACATGGAAAGGAGCACACAACCCATGGCAGCTGGGCTGTTTCCTTCGACCAGGTACGGAGAGGCAGAGGGTTATATGACCTCTAATTGGAAGTGGGGCATGGAGCTGATATTGATGACGTGTGAGGAACTGATTGGAATTCTCTGTGTGTGCAAACAGGAAGGGGAGTTGCAGTTAGGGCTGAAGAAGGAGGAAGTGGTAAGCAATCCTGCTTTGGCCTTCTGCCATGTTAGACCACCGCAATAATTGTACAGTAATTTATATTAGGGCAAGAACCTTTCATTCCCCTCTTTGTATTGTTAGAAAAAGGGTGAAGACTGTCTCTTACTACGTCCTGCTGGGCAGGGGCATTGTTTTGGGGTCTAGGGATTGATGGGATGACGGTTGATGCCCATGTAGAAGCTGATACCAGGTGTTTTAGCCAGGACAAGGAGTTTCTTGTTAGTAAAAGCTCACATCCTAGATTGGAGAAATGAAAAGATAAAGTGCCATGAGGAGGCAGGTCACTATCATAATTAAAGAACCCAGGAGAGGTAGAAGGAAAGGTGCCCTTGATCTGAATGTGTTGTTCCATTAGGGCCATGGTGAGGAAGAATCTGAAAAATAAATGTGGAATTGGGAGGGATCGAGTTATGAAGGGTAATTATTCTCCCATCTGAAAGTGTAAAAGTGTAAGTAGGACTTGTTCTTGGCCACGGGGTTTGAGCTGGAGAGAATAGAAAGCAGAGAAACGTAAGGCCTGACAGTTCAATCATGTTTGGGAAATTATAAACGAAGGGTAGGGAGGGCTGTGGCAGCATCGCTATAAAGTGATAGGACAGCCTCGATCCAGAGGGGTCTCATGTATAGAATATAAGGGATTAGGAACCAAATAGGACAACAAAACATGACGTGGTCTGAAAGTTATGGCTGTAGGGCCTTGGTGAGATGGAGATGGGAGATAGGCGATGAGAGATGACTACTTAGGATGTTTAGAGTCAGGGGAGTTAGAGTTTGGAGGACACCACTTAACTTGAGTGACATGGAACCAGGATGACGGTCCAGCAACCTTGACCACCGTTGAAGTTTCAAGGAAGACCAGGTAGGGACCATTCCACTTTGATCGTAGTACTGTTGAGGGATCTGAGAAGTAAAGGCTGGACCATTATCTGACTGGATACTAGACCAAACCTTGGAATGGTTTCTTGTAGAGACTTTAGTAACTATATCAGCAGTCTCCCTGGTTGTGGGAAAGGCTTTTGTCCATCCTGAAAAAGTACAGACAAAGATAAGATATTTAAGAGTTTTGTGGCAGGGCATGTATGTAAAATCTACCTGCCAGTCCTACCTGCCAGGGGTGTGTCTGCCAAGTGATGAAAGGAGGGGGGTGTGTGTCCCAGAGGAGAGGTTCTAAGTTGACAGTTGTGAGTCAGTTGTTGAGACCTGAGAGTGTCTGGGTCAGTTTACATAAACACAAAGGAATCCTGACAATCAGGGTGTAGGGGGATGGTAAAAAAGGCATCTTTAAGGTCTAGGATTATGAAGTGAGTGGTGGAGGGAGGGATATGAAAAAACATAGTACAAGAGTTTGGCACCACTGAGTGAATTGGGGTAACAGCATCATTGATTACCCTAAGGTCTTGTACCACATGATAGGACCCCAGGAGAATGGGAGAAATATTGTAGGGTAAGTGGGTGGTTTAAGAAAACCATTGTCTAAAAGTCACTTGATTATAGGTTTAAGCCCCTGTAAATGTGTGGGAGCTGTAGGATATTGGAGAATGCAAGGAAAAACTGAAGGATCCCTGAGATGAATTAAAACAGGCGTAGCATGGGTAGTGTGGGTGGGGTTGGAGGTATCTCAAATTACTAGATCAACAAGGGGAGAAGGAGGGGAGGGGATGGTTTTGCAGTGTACTGTGAGGGTGTTTGGAGTAGAGAGCTGTGGAGAGGGAGAAGGTAAAGGAGAAGTTAAGCTTTTGGAGAAGATCCCTACCGAGAAGGGATGTGAGACATGTTGGAATTACCAGAAAGCTATGGATGAAGACGAGTTTGGAACCTGCATGGAATGGGCCCTGTTTGAAGAGGCTGTGTAGATTGGCTGTCAACACTCACTACAGAGACTATACAGAGTATAACATCCTGAAAACTCAGGAAGAACACTATACGTGGCCTCCATATCTACAAGTACAGAGTGTTTTACCTGAGACCTCTAGTGAGACTCTGGGCTTTGAAAATGATACCTTAATGGGGCTGTGGGCCCCGAGCCCTATCAATCTTTAGCGGCAAGTCCTTGAAGTTGATCAGCCATTGATGAATCCTGAGCTGTTGAGATCTCCTATGAGGGCAAGGAGTTAGAGGACGGCTTACCCACTCCCTAGTGGCTAGGACAGTTGCTCTTCTGATGGCCCTTGAAATTGCAGAGGTGGCATTCTCTTTCCCATTGTTTTTTTTTGCCATACTGGAAGCATCATCTAGAAGGGGCTCTGGCTGCTCTGCCTTGCTTTGGTTTACCAGTTTGAGAGCCCCAAGTGGCACTGCTAAAAGATCAAATTGTTATTTTTCCTCCTTTTGAGTTTTACCTCTGTTGTGAAAAAAACATGAAAAACTATATTAAGAAGGTGTCCCTGTGGGGCTTGAGGGCCAAGTTTAGCCTTTTGTCTTGGGATCTGGCCCACAGTAGGAGGTATCTGTCTCCTCCAATGTCACAAGACAACGGGGTCCTTTGAGACCCTAGCCTTGTCTGATTCCCTATAATATTTTTTAATTGATTTGATTTTGTTTTTAATTAAGTATTATGGTCACACACAAATTTGTCCTCACGTTGTACTTTCCCCAGTAATACTAATGAGCTGACAGGAAGCACCACTACCAATCACACATACAACAATAGTTTCAGTCTTGTGTTTTTAAATAGCTGTTTAAATACCATCCTGAATAATAACTCAGTCTGACCTAAAGAATTCAAAAGTCAAGTCTAACTTGCTATTATATCATTCTAACTTTTATTTTATTTTATTTTTGTCTTTTTCCTTTTTATCGGTACCAGGGATCGAACTCATGCCTGCCTGCTTGCAAGGCAGGCGCTTATGCCGCTGAGCTAAATCCCCAGCCCCCTCATTCTAACTTTTAAAAGGACCTCAACTTATAGATCAACTATAAAATGTGAGAAATGTTAAAAATTCTTTATTTGGTATTATACATACACCATACTAAGATGCCTTTTAGTAAGTAAAAGCCAGCACTTTTTAGATACAGGGAATTCTAATTAAATTGGTATAGTCAAGACCAAAAATACAGACACCGCTCCTTGTCTTCAACCACTCCCTTTAACAGGCTAATAAACACAAATTGAAACAGGGGAGTCTTGCTTGGTTTTGAGAATAAAGGATTTCCCCAGTGTTTAACCAGTTAAATAAATCTAAATATAAAACCAACTTTGAATAGATTTTGAGATGACACTCTCAATCTTTGTGAAAAGTCAAAGGTTACTAATCAAGTCCAACCGTGTATTTAGAAAGGAAAAACAGTGATAGTATTTACAGAACTGGAATTACTGTCAAAACTTGAAAAAAATATTGATTTAATTACAAGCCAATTTTACTTAAATCAGGACTGTCCAACAAAAATATTCTGCCAGCCACTCATGATCCGAATTCTGGTGTATGAGATGTATTTAATTATGTTACACATAAAAAAGCTATGAGACATTTCTGTTCTGTAATAAGTAAGGCAGTGACTATTACTCATTAGTATCCTTTCTGAGGTAAGCTATTAAGTCTGCCTTTTCTCCCTTCTTCTTGATGCCAGCAAAGATCACTTTTGTTCCCGGGATGTATTTCTTGGGATTCTCCAAATATTCCATCAGTGTATCCTCTCCCCAGTTGATGCCTTTGTTCTTGTTGGCATGTGTGTAAGAGAATCCAGGAGACTGACCTGCCTTCCTCCCAGACAGACTATGGAGATTCGGTTCAGTCTTGTGCTTGCCTCCCTTCTCAACAGTGTGGCACTGAGCACCTTTCTGTACAGAAACCTTCTTGCCTTTCTCAACATCACCCATTTTTAAACCTGCTGCGGTTTCTGCGCCAAGTGGTCACCGCTCTTTCCTAGATACCATGAGGAAGGTACCAGTTTAGAAGCCAGACGTTCTGCTCTCTCCCCTATAATATTTTTAAATGACTCAGCTGTATGTACCATTTTTTTTCTCTGAAGAAGTAACCCAAACTGCCAAAGGGGTAATGAGTGATGACCGATCTGGCTTCGTTTAGGCTGAAAGGGGTTGAAGTTCTCGAATGGCAGTCAGAGATGCTCTGCAGAGCTTTCAACTAGTGGCCCTCAATAGAAAGCAGGCATTTTCGTCTTGGGTAGGTGCACAGCTTTAAGTCTAGAGAAGAAAAAGGCAAAGAAACAATTAAGTATGCGGGAGCCAAATGATAGAATCAACAGGATATTTATGAGTATAGTTTTAGTAATGGCTTCCCATAAGGAAGATAAGAATAAGGTCCAGGGAATTTTAGAAACTGACGTGTCATTGATTTGTCGTACACACATTTAGTTTTTACAATTGTGTAAGAATCTCCTGTGCTGTTAGAATGTCTAATGCCTTCTGAATTTGGAAGATGGCCTGTTTTATTAATTTTACCTTTTTACTGAGGAGAGAGATCAGCTGTGGTGTCAGGTGAGACCTGTTGAGTATAGTTAATTATGGCCTCAATATGCATCCTATAACTTTTTTTTAAAGATCTGGTGGATCTCAGTAAAAGGAGATAAAAAATTATCTCTTAAATTTTAGTTGTTGAACATCCAGAAGATTGATAACAGTATAGTGTAGTAGAGACAGTAAGCTTAATGTAGAACATTAAATGAAACTGCAATTTTCTGTTAGCCATGGGGGTTTTAATTTTTGAGATTACATTTTTTTTTAATCGGTAATGGGTATCGAACTCACAACCACCTGCTTGCAAGGCAGGTGCTTGTGCCGCAGAGCTAAATCCCTAACCCCTTGAGATTACATTTTGAAACACATGTCCTTTAATAGGATGTCATTGAAGAAATTTGTGACATTGTTTTGATGGTTCAATATTTAAGCATCTCTGAGTATAGTGGCACATATATCATGTGTATATTACATAAATTTTTATTTAAAAATTATCATTTGACTAGTAGCTTCATGTTGGTGACTTGAATCTCCTGGCATAAGAAAAAAGCAGATACATGGATCTGAAAGAAAATGTTTATCATTATAAAGAATCCTAATTTTACATTTGAAGACATGAATATTCCGTAAGATCAATATTCTGTAAGATCAGCAACAATGAATTGTCTTAGTCATAGTAACTTTAGTTAGTGTCTCTCCCATAAAGCTATGGAGATTATTGGGGCCTCTAATTAATGAATAAGAGCTGGTTAAAGTTACCAGGTGGCCACTTTCTTATTTATCAGTTGAAGTCTTGCCCAATGTCTTCTCACTCCAAGGGATTTTGTTTAACCAGTTTTAGCATCATTTTGACCAGCTGGCAACCTAGGTGGAAGCACACTTTTTAAATCTATAACCCAAGTAAACCTTGATCAAATGATTTGAAAATGCAAAAAAAAAAAAAAAAAAATTTAAAGAGAGAAGATTGTTGAGCGCAAATAAAGAGAAACAGCTGTTTACAGAGCAGACAAATGGACTAACATGGGCAGATGAACTGCAAAGTATAAACAGACTGGACAGAGAGACAACAGATACATAGACAAACATCTTACAAAATCAGAGTACATTCAATTATGTTTTGCCAATTGAACTATAATAAATAGATTAGTGTGAACCTTTTTGTACGTTAATTAATAGAGATCTCTTGAAATAAGAATAGTGGAAAAGGAATCTAATTTATGGTTACTCTGACATAGGTCAACAAGGGGAAAAACGAACATGAATATGTACTAGTCCCTGGGGACCAGCCTGTTGTCAAAGCAGGAAAATAGGGATTGAAACTGAGAAGGATGTGGAGTGGGAGGTGTAGATGGCCACTGAGCAGCCAGCAGGCATTTGTTCCTGGGTCCATGTCGCATGCTGATTATTGGTGGCAAATAAAAAGGTCCCAGAGGAAGGAGAGGTGGTTCAGAGACAGGGAGCTCAAACTGGGAGTGACTGCCAGGAATTAACACGCTCTGCCAACCTAGTCATGGCACCAAAAATGTTGAGTTTTCTGGCGCGATAGAGAAGCAAAAAATACAAAATGAAAAGAACAAGTTTACTGAGGACATTGGAAAGGAGCACACAACCCTTTGGTGGGCTTTGGTGGTTGGGCTGTCTCCTTTGACCAGATACAGAGCAGCAGAGGGTTATATGACCTCTGATTGGAAGTGGCGCATGGGCAGACATTGATGACTTGTAAGGAACTGATTGAAATTTTCTTTGTGCGGAAACAGGAAGGGAATTTGCAATTAGGGCTGAAGAAGAAGGAAGTGGTAAGTATTCCTGCTTTGGCCTTCTACCAGGTTAGACCACCACCCTAATTACACAGTAATTTACACTAGGGCAAGAACCTTTCAACTACCATCAGATTTAATGACTAATGATAGTTTTGATTTGTTTCCTTCTAGTCTTTTTTAAATTTACTATAAATTTTTTTTTTAACTTTTTAAATATGGTTGAAATCACGGTAAATATTTCTTTTTTCCTTTACGGTTATAGCAGTATTTTTCAAATCATTGTTTCATAAATACTTATGTCAGCCATGTAGTATGAGTTTTTAATATAGATTCTTACGCATTTAAATTGTTCTCTTTTTTGCCTTGGTAAATAACATGTAATTAATGTCTTTTGAAAATATTTTTCTGTATTTTAGAGAACTATTTTAAGATAAATTATAAGAAAGGCCCAAGGGTACCAGTTTTTTATTTTTTTTATTTTTTGAGACAGAGTCTCACTGTGCAGTTCAGGCTGGCCTTGAGCTCACTTTGCAGCCCAGGCTAGTCTCGAACTTGCAACGATCCTCCCACTTCAGCCTCCTGAGTGCTGGGATTACAGGCGTGAGCCATCGTGCCCGGCTTAAAAAGGCTTACTTTTATTCAAGTTTTTTTGTATGAGTATAGTAGAAGTTATTACAAGTTAGATTTTACTTTTGTGTGTTTATAGTAGACAGGTCCCTTATTATTATTATTATTATTATTATTAGGGTACTAGGGATTGAACTTGCAACCTAGTGCTTGCCAGACAGGAGCTTGTGTGGCTTAGCTAAACCTTTGGCCCCGTTATTATTTATTATTATTATTTTTGGTACCAGGGATTGGACTCATGACCTTGAGTATGCCAGGCAGGGGCTTACACTGTTGAGCTAAATCCCCAGCCCCCTTATTATTTATCTACTATACTGAGTTTCATGTCCCCTGTAGCATCATTATCTTCTATAGCATAAGAAAAGATGTATTTAAAAAAATGGACATGGTGGCACATACTTGTAGTCTCAGCACTTTGAAGGGTGACAGAGAAGGAACTTGGTGGGTTTTGAGGTCAGTGTAGGCTACATAATGAGTTCAAGGCTGGCTTGGACGTACAGTGAGACTGTGACTCAGAAAATAAATCCAACATGAAAACCAAACAACAGCAAAAAGGTGAATTACATTAAAGTTTGAATTGAATGTATTGTAATTTGTAAATTTGATTATCTATGGCAACAATATAATTAAGCATATTTAGTCCGAGTCCCCAGCCCTTAGTTAGAAATGGTTAATCATTTTGTCAATGAATAAAGGGCTGTAGAGCCTTGGAGTGAGATGAAACCTAAAATAGGGACAAAGATAAGCTTGACCTTAGTGATCGGCATCTGACATAAATTAGTGAGTAAAAAATGATGAAATGGCAGCATATTTTATGGCTGGGAGTATACAAGAAAAGTGTAGACATTATTCCTCATTTGGAATGTGCTTTGGAGATTTCGGTGAGATGTGTTTGTTTGTGTTATAAAAAATAGCCAGCTAAAAAACAGATAAGTAAGTTTGTTTGTGATAGCGTCTGATAAATAAGATCTTAGGAAATACAATGATTTTTTTCCATTACAAGAAGAGTGATATTGAAGCCAGGTGTGGTGCAACACTTGAGAGGCTGAGGCAGGATTGTTGGAAGTTTAAAACCAGCCTGGGCTACAAAATGAGCCTAAGGCCAGCCTGAACTGCATAGCAAGACCCTATCTCAAAAAGACAAACAGAACAGAATGATATTGAAGATGACATCTACAGCCAGAGAGGGTTCCAAAGTGTCGATGTCGCTCCTGGCCGGCAGGAAGGACACACGACAAAGTCTGGCAGTGGACAACCTTTTTTTTTATTTTCCTTCTCCGTACAGCCTGCCCTGGGATCGCTCCCAGCCGAAGCCTCCTCTGGTCCGCTCCCCGCGGCTCCTTTTGGGCTTCTACTTCCGGGCTTCTTCTTCCCCCCCAGGGGTGGCACCAGTATATATACACGGATACAGTGTCCAATCATGTTAAAGTAAGCAAGGCAAGCTGATTGGCTAACATCATCAGTTGCCAGGCAGACTATATTGTTGAGCGGGTTGCTTACGCGGTAAGCAGGAAACTAACGTGCTCGATGGGAGGGGTAATCTACCTCAGGCTTTACTCTTTACTACAGGCCTCACGTCCGCCAAGTGAGGCGACCGGGCTCGGGGCTGCGGCTCCCAACATCTCCCCCTTTTTTATTTTTTTTATAAATGTGCGCATCGTAGCCCTTTCTGGACTGGGTGCAGAGGCTTATGTCCTATGCGTAGGCCCACCGTAGGTCTTTGGCTTAGACCCTGGTCGGCCGTCCCATGGTCTGCCAAGGCCCTGAGGCCCTCGTCCTTTTTCTAGGGCCAGGCACAAACTGGACGGAACCTGGATGCACACAAGCTTGCACTCATTTCCTCTCTGTAAAGAAATCCCCTCGGAGAGAAATTTAGACCTGGGCAGCATCTAACAGTCCAGCGGCTTACGTGCAGGATGGGGTAGGGCCTGGCTTAGGTTGAGTCGCACCGGGGGAGTATGCTCTTACCCGTCATTGACTCTCCTACCTAGCTATGTCATAATTTTTTAGAGGAGG